ATAAATGATTTGGTACTAACAGATTGAACCAGGACAATTTCAGTGAGGGAAAGAAACAAAATGGGGAAAAAAAGTATCATCACAATTTTGTAAATCCCTTTTTTAAAGGTGTTCAAAATTTTGACCTTCCACTGAGCGTGAAAGAGGGGAGGAGAACCACAACTGCCACTGAAATGTGTTTACAATAACTAGATTTTGTATCATTCATAGATGTCACACTTCATCAAGTCATCATGACAAGACAGATACGAAAATGTCAGAAGTGCATAAACTCCATTTGTTACATAGAAGAGGATACATATTTAAAGCACGTATTTTATGTTTTAGGGCTGTTACCTCGCTTTACCCCAAAATAATTATTTTAGCCTACCAGACAATTGTAACTGCTTGTAAGAAAGCAACAGTCTGACAACAGCAATACTTGCCCGGCATCTGAGCCAGGCAGACAGAAGGGCCATGGCCCAGAGAGCTGGGTGATAATGAGATCTGGCCGAAGCACTGACATCTTTCACAATTATCTGGAATATTGCATTTATCTACTGGAAGTCAGAAGATTTAGAAATTCAGCTCTTGTCTTCCCCTTGCAGAAGCAGCACTTTCCCTGTTCAGCGATCACCAGATCCTCTCCTACAAAGCTGACCGTTACTATTTTTGCTGCTATTCTTTTTTCCTCATTTGCAACATCCCAAGTCCCAAACCACCCGTCAGGACTTGCGCAGAAGACACCTCACGAGGTTCAATCTGCCAAAATTCTCACTATTTTTGGTATAGCCTCCTTAGAGGAGGGTGCAAGGGGCAGTGGAAGAAAACCCACTCCTCTTTTCTCCATCCCAGACCCCGGCCGTGACAGCGGGTCAGCGCGCAGCTGGTCCATCCCTGCCGTCTCCCCTCCATCCCACCCAGCGGGCAGGATCCCTGCAGGGTGCCAGCACGGGCCATTGCCTCCCTCTAGCGTCTGCAGCACAGCCGCCTCTGCCTGGGCTCCCCCCCATTAGTTACCAGGGTCCTTTCAGCTCTCGGAACAAGAGGGATCTGGTTTGGTCCTGCGAGTAATGACCCGTAATTAACATTTATATAGACACTCCAGAGTATGAGAATTCACCTAGCCCAGGAGCGCCTGGGGATCAAGCAGCCTCCGGAAACTCTTCTATAATTAACATTTAACGATTATGCAGAAACCCCGAGGCAAGCAGCTGTCTCTGCTTCTGCAGGAGAGGCCTGAGGGCGATAGGACATGAGGACAAACTAGTTAGAAACCCATCATCAGATTAACTTTTCTCCTCCCATGCCCACGGACTTCTCACTTGTTCTAGCAAGAGAAAGTGGTGTCACCATGGCACAATGGCAGCAGTTATATTTGGAGGAGGGACTGAAAACCACCCAGCTCGTGGGCCTATCCAAAAATGGCCCCAAAATGATGCTAACGTGAGGTGCGTGAAGAAGCTTCACCATGTTCAGGTCAAGGGCTGGCTGCTCTCAGCCAGGAGGAACCCGCAGCGGCGCGAGGACAGGACTTTACAGCACCCCCTGGTAAGGGACCATTCATTGACAGGGTAGGTGAGGAAAAGGCAGGAGCACACATCTCTGCACCTCAGCCCTGGTAATGCTTTAAAACAAATCCTAAAAAAAAAAAATCACATCCAGATGCAACCTTAAAAATGTAAACTAGTAAAACATTAAGCTGTAAAATCAACATGAGTCAGTGGCTGAAGTAACGAACGAAGTGGCAGAGTTCAATCAACTGCAGATACATAAGCAAGATTCCTCTCTTCCCAATTTAGAAAGTAAATATTTACTGAAAATCTGTTTAATACACCAATGGGTCGCTTTAAAAGGCCACTTCGGGCAGAACTCTTGCCCCTCACCCCTGAGCACTGAGAGCTGATGAGACCCACTAGTCACTCTGCAGAATTCAAAGCTAAGTCTAACAAGCAGAGCAGTAGCAATGTTGCTCCTAGCCTTAGTCACAGAAATACATTAATCATTATGGTGGTTAATTAAAATATGCTCTTTCCTATTAAAGAAACATTAGTCTTTATATTTTAAACAGGCCAATTGACAATTTAATACACTCTTTATTCAATATTTACCCCTATACCTTTGAGGCATCCCAAAAGCTGATGTGTTTTGGAAGGCTCTTAAAGGTGAAACAATTTAAGACCTGGACCCACTTAGGTGCACAGCTCTGTTCCTGGTTGAGTCAATGAGCAACAGCATCCTGCACTTCGTGTAGTAAGGACTTTCACTGAAAATACATACATTTTAAGAACGAATTTCTACTAAAGGAAGGCTCTATCGTAAACATTTAGTAAGATCTGGGAATATAAAATGCTAGTATAAGGTCACTTAAGCAAATGTGACCTGAACAGAGACAGACATGACCAACATGGTACAAGAGGGTGTCTTTCCTTACACTTCTTGTTTTCAATGAGCAAAAAATAACCACTTAGGCAAATCTGAGGGACTGCCTCAGAAAATAGTAGTGACAAGGGATTTACCCGGTAAGTGAACACGGGACAGGAATGTTGTGATATAACTTGAGGAAGAAAACATCCGCAGAAAATAAACCGTCAGCAATTCTGCATTAGTTATAATTAGAAGGATAATTGCTCTAATTTTGCAAATATTGCTAAGAATAGGAGAACCGTTCATTTCTCTGCAGTGCTTTAACAATTAAAATACGCTTCTGCGTTTCTCAAAACAAAGACTGAAGGAGACTGGCTACCCTCAGAACAAGCGTGGGCCAGGGAGAGCCCACGCGCATTCCCCCGTGCTGCCCAGCAGCAAGGCTGCGGCAGAGGGCAGGGGACATCTTCCCTGGCAGGGCAGGCTGGGCCCCACTGACAAGGCTGCCAAAATCAGTCATTCTCACCGCACTGGCCATTCACAAAGCAGGAAACAGAGTCTGAAACCTCAGTTCCTGCAAATCACCAAGCAGCCATGGGATCACTGGAATTTGAAAAAAAACCCACCAACCCTAGATGTTACTATAGCCATTAAACAGCTTTTAAAATAATAGGAAATACTTGTTTAAGAAAGCCTGCAGTTTGGGGCTCTGAAGTCTTATTAAATGCTTACAATTGAGCCTTCTTGTATTAGACGCTCAGTCTTTAAATGTATATTTTCTATATTTTCAGTGAAAGTGCTTACTAACAAAGTGCTGGGCGCTGTTGCTCACTGACTTGAGCAGGAACATTCCCACAGTTGCCTTATTTCCCCTTCTGAGTTATAAAAAAGTGCTAGAGAAAATTCTTTGCTCCCGGTCGCAGGCTCCAAACACCGATTGCAAGGATCCAGGTTCTGAAGTGGTAAAAGACCCTGCGTGAACGACACCGCGGTCCGAAGGCACAGCCAGGACAGATTACAAAAGAGCACCTAGCTCTCATGACTTGCATCACGGCAGCAGGAGGGATTTTGCCAGTCTCGTCCAGAACCATTTTTTGGTGCAAGGATTGGTGTAATCACAAATTGTAATGAACCGTAAGATACTTGGAAACTCGTTCTTCATGGTTTTGCACTTGACTGGAATCAGCCGTTTGAGACGAGCACCTGAAAGACAGGTCACACAGGCAGAGGATTACACAGAGCCCCACTCAGACCCTGTATCCGTTTTCTCTCCACAGCAGCACACACATCACAAGACCCAGGTTTGCTCCTGATTTTGTGTCATCTCATTATAACGCAGCTAGCTCTCACCCTGGAGAGCAAGTTTCTGAATCCCAAGCCCTCTCCTAAGAACATTTCATTCAAATACGTAGCAGGGCCCCATCTAGCATGCGTAGGGCAGCTTGTGCTGATGGGAGTGATAAAGGCCTAATGAACTGCAGACATACAAGAACAGAGCACAGTTTCTTGTGGAACACAAACAGGAGTATACAGTCCTGACTACTTCCAGGTGTGTATGAAGAGAAAATTGAGAGACTAAGCTGCTTCTAGATGGTCAGCTTTGCTGGGTTATCTCCAGTTCTTCTTCCTCCTGATTCACTCAGGCTGCAGGCAGTACCCACCGATCACAAGGGGCTGCGAGGAATCACCCTGCTAACATGAACTGCTTTTTTTGAAGCATGCACGATATCGGACAACTCTCCCTGTGATTGCTACTGCTTGAAGGAGCAGCTCTTCTAAAGAGGAACCTCTCCCCTTACAATTCTCCACAGAGACACCCACTACCAGCTAAACTGCCCAGCGCAAGTGATGACGCTGAGACCTGGATGAGGCAAGAAACCAAGATTTTGTAACTGCAGCAGATGCTGCAATCCATGGAGCTCCCAGAACTTGCCACCAAATCCTTCTGTGAGTTAGTTCCCCACGCAAACAAGTAACTCTGTGATTTCTCTAAGCCTGTACTTACAGGCATGTTTTTACTGGTAGAGCTCAGGTCATTACAGATGGGCATTTCTTTTCCTGTTGTTCCAATGAAAGATACGATGCCAACAAAAAACCGGTGAAGAACTAAAAGGACTTTGCTACAAAACCTGATGATTGGGGGCCGATGCAACATGCTAGGGGTGTTCAATGGATTAACGGCCATCGTATGAAATTATTGTGTCAAGGAGGATGGAGCTAATTCCTAGCTCTGCCACTGGCTTCCAGTTCAACCTCTGGCATGTCACTTATAATACCACGTCAGATACCTCATCTAGAAAAGAGACTTCACATGCAGACACTCCTACCCATATTACATATCCTCCATACTATTAGGCTGTGCTGCACTTACTCCCCAGAAACATACACGAGTGTAGGGTAACTAGTGGTTAGAGAAAAGCAATCTGAACAGACTTGACAGAAGTAAATTGATGGCTTTCAATTCAGAACAAAATACGTAACAGATTTTTCCAATCCACGTTGAACATCCATTCCATATTTTGTTCACCTGTCCACAATACTCAAGGATCTCTGCAAAAAGCTGCATGTTCATGACCTGCTACCCTATTCCCAGCATTTACTCACACCCTGAATTTATTATAATACTTTTCTCTCCAGCAATGTATTTCTTGTATGGATCTTAAAGCACTTCACAAGCCTGACATGCAGCTACGACGTCTCGGAAGCAGGCAGCGTTAGCCCACTTGACAGCTGGAGCACTGAAGCACAGACAGCTAAGCTTCTCGCTCGCGGTCATGCAGAAGGTCAACGGCAGGGCAAGGAATCAAGTCCGGGTCCCTGCCTGCAAAACAAAATTATAAAGCCGGCTGCTTCTAATAGCGATAAATCTCTGTTTGCTTAGTGAAGGGCATTACACCCAGAGCAAGCCCTGTGCCTGGGTGGACTTTCACACATGTGAAACGTAGGTCAGCGGTGAGAACCCAGGTCTGAGACCAAGTTACTGTGACTATCAGTTATTTATCTTCTCCTTTCTCTCCTGTATTTATCTAATCTGTTTAAACACATCTGAGACTACCCTTCATTCTGCATTTGTGCAGTGCCCAGTAGTACAGCACTGCTCTCAGCTGGAGATGTTACTGTAATAAAAATTGTGATGTTGATATGCAATTTTAAATGAGATATTTGTGAGATCTTACCTGGGGAAAGACTAAGAGCAAATTTGGTTTGAAAATCACATTCATCACTTTCCAGGTAATCATCTGAAATGACGACCACCATTCTACGGCACCTGAAGATAAAGCAGTCAGGGGAGAAAAAAATAAAATGTCAACAGAGATACTTCTTCTCACTGGTACAAGTATGTATTCCTTTGAATTGCTCCGATGGAGAAATAAACCTGCCAGTGAATTAACTACAGAGCAAGGACTACTGAAAGACAGATAGCTACGTTACACACAAAAACCTGATTACAGATACACACTCACAGACCAAAAAATGAAGAAATAGCGAAGTCCAGATTGTCTGTGCAATCGTTATCTGATCCTCTGTCTATATATTACAAACAATGCCATCTTAATTATCTGCTTACATGCTGCCTTTATTGACTGAGCATAACTGGAACTTTTTAATATTCAAATGAACTGGACAGAGCTTTATTGTACTCATTGAATTTACCTGGTTTCATAAATTTGAGCTTTATTCTCCAATTTGTTGCTTACATTCATTTGAGGTGCCTGGTTGTAAACTACACGTTAGGCTCTTTATGGAGGGCTACGCTGTACAACAGCCAGGACAGCGAGGCCTTACGAGGGTCTCTGTTAATGCCAAGCTACCTCCCTCTGAAAGGCTGATGTTTAAAACCCAAACACCTGCCTTGGGATTTTTCACTCCCTATCTGGGGAGTTGCTTTTATGTCCCACAGCTCCCACCACGCCCGAGTCCCACACAGGTCTGAAGGCTCCCTGAAGTCAGTGCCAGAGCCAACACCAGTGCTGTGCCCCCAAACTCCACACTGTGGGCTGGAGCTAACTCAGCCTGGAGCTATGTTCATTTCCAGATCACCTCCAAGGATGCGACTGCAGGATATTCCAGCCAAGACAAAAGGCATCAAACCTAAGCAGCATCACTATAGTGGCATCTTCCTTGTGAACACAATGAAGCGACATGTTTGGGAATGCTCGAGTCTTCCTTCTGGAGCCAAGAGCATAAAACAAACCCTATAAAGACATCCTTGAGGATTTTTACTGCTTCACCGGCACCACACTGCAGACATCATGGTAAAATGAACGTAATGTTCCATTACGCTCAGCTGTCCCAAAAAGCCACGCTTCACTTACCGCCTTTCTATAAGTTCTCCGCTGATGGACCACACACACGTTCCTGGCAAGACATCCCGATCAAATACGCAGAGCTTCAGTTTGAACTCTGTTTGTTCCAGCTCCCTGATCATCTCCTGGACAAACTGAAGGTCTTTCTGACAGTAGCAGATGAAGGCATCAAACATCTCTGTTCCGTTCCCTGAAACCATTAAAAATTTTGTCGTCATCTTCTACTAGAAATGAAGTTAACTCCTGTAGTGAACTTTCACTAGCTCCCACAGACTTTGACTCAGAATCAGGAGCTTTGACAGACGAGCTCTGGCCAAACTTGCAAAGGTAATTTAACATTTTACCAGACCAGCTACCCTTCAGCCCAGACTCCAGTCCGTAACAGGGCTAACAGGAGGTAACACATGTCTGTGCCTAGATGGCTTTGTTTCACGGTCCAGGCTATTCGCATAAATCCACATTTGCTGGCAGTGGTTAGGGAAGGGGAGCTGAGATGCAAAATCTGCAGCGGCAATAACATCCAGCCACAGGGAAGGGGGGGAGACAGAGTCTGGGAAGAATTGGAAGGAGCAGAGTACCCCAGAGGATGCAGCTCAGTGCCCCGATGCTCTGGGGATTCACTGGGAGTTACGCATCTAAAATATCCTTGTGGCTCTGGTTCCTAGTTCTCTAGTTCACGTCAGAGAGATTAAAACTTGCCAACCAAAACCTTCCTGCAGGCCCTTCATCCAGCAATGTCCTGACATCTGCTGTCCATTGAGCTATGAGGTAGGCCTTGAAATTTGGAACCTGCAATTTTTATGGCTGAGATGTCAAACTTTGGTACCTGAAGTCATATCCTAAGTAAATGGCCCTGTTTTCCAATGATGTTAATGGTTGGCAGCTCTCGTTTATTTAGCACTTATACAAATATTAAAGTGCTATACTTTAAGGGCAATGTTTCTCATAGTTAAGTGCCTTAATACTGCTGGATAGTTTCCCACTGTGTTATTTTTTTTTCTCCATCAATGTCACTACATATATTTTCAAGTTTTTATGCCAGTTAAAGCCTACCACAGAGAAAAAATAGGTCAGGCTCTAAAAGCTGCTGAGAAAAGTATCAACCCGGCAGGCAGATCCAGCCCAAGAAGCATCCAGTCAAGCAGAACGGTAACTGGCTGCCAGGTCAATCAAACTGAGGGTACTGCTTTAGGGGCACAGCACTAACTTGGGGGTCACATCAGGCAAAGCTGCCATGTACAAACACCAGCATACTGGTCTGTGGACATTTGGGGAGGGTTAATGATGTCCCCACATACAGCAAAGGTGGCCACCCAAAGTCGGACTAGCTAGAGGAGCATCTGAAGAGGTGAGCTGACACATCTCCATTCAGCCTCAGCTGCTGCTCCGTCTGTCACAGAACTTTATGGGATGTCCGCTTCCTCAGCCCACACGCAGCCCAGCATGCACACATACGGCTGCGTGCGCAGCCCGGCACGCAGTTAGAAACGCAGAAGCCTGGGCGCGCAGCCCAGCACACAGTTGCACACGCACGTGGCTGCACTGGCAGAGCTGCACGCAGAGCCCAGCGAGCACACACACAGAGAACTGTGCTTCCTTTTCCCCCCACTTCACACCCAGCCATACTTCAAACTTCCTTTTTTATTCAAGGTGGTTAAATCTGCTGAAGACAGGGCAATCAGCTCTGACATCCTTCCCCTTTGACTCCAACCCACTGCGCTTTCAGCAGCTGTTGCTCTGTGCCAGGCTGTGCTAAGGGACATGTTTCTGGGAAGTCTCCTCCCACACATGTCCAGTGGGCTCTGTGCCAGCCTGTTTCTGGGTACGGCGTTCCCTAGGGTTGCTTTTCCTCTCTGCCCTAGAGAATAGGAAAAATGAAAATGCCTGCAGGTTACCAGCTAAAGCATTCTGGCCTAGGTTATGAAAAGTCATGGGGAGTAATGAAAGCAAACAGGTTTTCTGTGCTTCTCCTGGGGATATGCTACAGCTGAAGGCAATTCCAACATGAGGTATCACGCAGCAATGTAATCATGGGCGCTTACCGTACGGATCGTCCCTGGTGGTGATGCCCATCAGTTCTGATGTCTTTGGCATGCTGCTGTCTACCGCTGGCACTTGAAGCGGCTGGTCGGCCTGCTCCTGCTTCCGTTGTAAGTACTTCTTACAGTCCTCCTCTGCAAAAACACAACCAATGCAAGAGGCTCCTGTGATGGTGGTTTTACACCGCTGGACTTCTTTAAAACAGGAATAGCTATTTCATGGATATCAGGGGGAAAACCCCTATCTGGTTTTTGGTACCTGTTTATGGACCTGATGTGCTGGAATTTCTCTTACCCCTTTTTGAACCTCTTGGTGCTGCCTCCACCACCTCCTCTAACAATTAATTCCTGAAGCTCGCTCTTGCTGTGTAAAAAAGTACTTTCTTTTATTTGTTTTAAACCAATCTCCTCCTATTACCCTTAGTTCTAGCATATCCCAGTACGCTTTAAACAGCACGCATCATGTGCGTAACGGTCTCAGCTTCACTGTCTGCTCTCACTGTTATGCATTTTGGAGTATTTAAAATCATCACATAACTGGGGGTGGGATGACTCTCAATTAGAAGTCTTCATATTGTCTTTTACTAATCAATGTAGACACACACTAGCTGATTCACACCACCGGCCTTTGTCAGACAGACCGGCAGGCGACGGTGAGTACATACACTCACCACATATGGGAGGAATACGTAAAATACTAGCAAGCCCCTGAAATGGGCTTTATATAGTGCAACCACTAGTGGAGATCCTCCTTAGCTCAGGCAGAGTGGGTGTGCACAGTCCCTCTGGGAAAACTGAAGGGCAAGCAGGCCTGTCACATTTGCTGCTGTGAACTTCCCAAACAGGACAGTGATGGACGCATCTATTATAAACAGATTTTTTTTAAAAATGAATGATAAATCTAAATGTAAAGCCTTTGGAGAAGTGACAAGAAATCCTGCAGCCTCTGCCACTCTGCAATATGCAATTACAGAACTTGAAAGTAAAAGGAGATTTGAAACCAGGAGTTAACAAGAAGATGAAACTCCCTAGAGCCTTCTCCTTTACTTAAAATTAAAGAAAACAAAAATACAAGGATCTCCTGGAAGTGTAGGACACAGGTGGGAGCCCAGTAAGCACTGCTGTAACACAGCCCTCATCAGTAACGAGCGGGTCTGCAGGAAGCCCAGCTCCTGATGCCCCATCCGCTGCTTCCACCTCATAGTTTTGCATCTCGTGACTGGATTATCCCCAATCTAATAAAGTGCCAGATCTGATCAAAGCTTTTCCTGAGGCTGAGGCATTCCCACTCTGCCTCTCTCCTCCCCCTTCCTCCCCCTTCCTCCCCAGTCCTGCAGCAGAGAGAAGAATCAGCCGCATTCTTTACCAGGCAGAAGGTTCAGATTTCAGGTCTTTCCTCACTAAAGCACAAACTCGTGTCCAACCCCTCTGCCAGCTGCCTGTTGCCACGAGGTGTGTACATTTTGTGTCAGGTAAGTCAGTGTCCTTGAAATGGTAATTCAAGCCACTCTGAATTGGCCAACAGGTTCAGAAGTTCCATGGGAAGGACTACCTCACAGGCACCATGTGCCTTGGTCCCCTAGGCACAATCCAAAATATTGCTGAATAGGCAATAACAGGCAATTATTTAAAGGCATACTAATAAAAGTGCTCAACACAGAAATGTTCATTTTAAGTGTATTTGCTCCATGTCTTCTCTCCTTGTTTCTTCCACCTGCAAAAGTGGCATCTGCGCTGGCCTGACCTGCATTTTTCCAGATTGGTGCCCAGAGCTCATCACCATGGCTAACACACATACTCATTAACGTAAGCGTTCTCCTGATTCATCTAGTCAAGCCTACGTGCACAGTTTTGATGGCATCATCTGTAATCCCAGACCCCATTTATCCCTACAGGATAAACCTGAGAGCTGGGCAAAGCTTTCAAAACAAAACACCGGAGCCTGATGGTTTTATTACAAGTGCAAACTGGGGGCCCTATCGCACTGAAAGTGCCAATAGGTCCAGTGAACCCGAAAGGATGAAAGACATTCAGTAATTTGGCATGGATTAGTCCCCAGTTGGAAACGGTGCCTGACTGTACAAGAAAAAGGATGCAAACCAACACAAAGAAGTAGTGAGAAACTCCTCCAAGTTATCCCACTCCACCCAGCATCTAACTAACACAGTGCAGGCTTTGCATTCACCCAATGGTCAAACAAAAGCCTGAGGTATTGGAGAGAAAGAACAAAAACATGAAACCTAAAGTGCAAAATGATTAGCACGATGAGAAGAGCGAGAAAACAGACCCAATAACTGTCAAGCAGGAAAGTAGCACTTTTATAACAGCTCAGGAGGAAACAAAAATCATTGAGTTTCAGCAGGGAAGAGTTAGCACAAACGTACTAAAGCAAAGAGCCTCACATCCCTAAAGATGATTGTACAACGAAATAAGCTGCTAAGAAAGATCACACTTGGAGGAGATCTGCTAGGATGGAAAAGCTGCATCCTGCAAGTATCTGTACTCCAGATAGTGCAACGGGGGACCTGCTAAATACAGCCCCACTGTATAGAGTGGCCAAAAGTGGAACTATTCAAGGCCGCAGAAGACACTGATTTTTAGCATCCTAAGCGTACCCAGGAACGGAGCACACAACGAGAAGACAGGGAACTGGTTCTGCAGTAGAAACCACAAACCAAATCTGTCCTCTGGAGCTGCACAGCACCAACGAGTTGTGTTTCACGGGGATGCTGTGTCCCAAAGGAGCTTGGCTCATTTGCCCACACGAGGGCATCAGGTGTCACTTGAGAGATCCGAGTGTCCGAGACACCTGTAACGGGCTAGCAGGTATGACACCGGACCTACGAATGACCTGCGTGCATCAGGAGGTAGAGGCCGTGTGGGATATCCTGAGGCCTCTCAAATGACTTGAGATGCCTTCGCGTGGGCAGCCGAATCATGCCCCAGATCTGCACCTCCTATAATGAAAGCACAGACCGCAGAAACCTCAATACTGATGTCTTCTGATTCTGAGCTGAATCTCACTGCAGGAGTCCTAACAGCGTGAGCAAAGATGCCCTTGGCATCAGGAAATACCGTGCATAAGAGTGCATACAATCGTCCATTTCCTTTCCGCTTACGAGTGTAAATATCTCCAACTTCTGCAAGAGCTCGGAGTGCTAGCAACAGGTCACAGGCCCTAGCTGCAATCCCCACCCAAAAATAATAAAAGAGAGGAACGGCCATGCTGGGTCAGGCTGAGGATCCATCGACCCCAGCATCCTGTCTGCAGCAATAGTCAAAAACAGATGCCTAGGGGATAAAAGAATAAAATAAGTGTACAGTGACATTTTCCTGAAATAATCTATCTTCTAGGTATAATCTACAATCTATTTTTATAATCTGTCTTTTGGACAATTTGCAGTTAAGGAATTTCCTGAGCCAGAGGCAATATTTTTGTGTTGAACAGCCCTCAGTGGGTCTTTCTTCCCTGAATTTATCCGTCTCTTCTTATCAGCATGACCCACCGCTGGGCTAAACTTGTGACTTTCCTGAAGCCCAGGTTCCTCCCACTCATTCTGCCGTTGTCTCTTCAGGCTCTGACAAAGACCGTCCACCACATTCCCTTCCAGTGGGCTAGCTCCTGAATTCCGGGCCAGAAGAAGCCTCGGTGATGCCCAACGTTTCCATGAAGCCCCAGCTCTCTCGCACAGCTGGAAGCTTCTGCTATCTGTTATGAACCTCTGATCGGTGGGTCACGAAGCACACTGATTTTTTTGTCTTTCCCAAAACCGAGTCTTCAGAGCGTGTTCTTGATTAGGAAGAACCGCAGGAGTATGGGAAAGTCCTCAATCACTTCTTGGTCAGGCTCCCTACATAGATTAATTTCTACATCTTCACTTATCTCCATGAGTAACAGGAAATGAGATTTATTGTTTCTTCATCACTAACCCAGTAAACTATATTTTACAACACAGGACTTCAACGGAGTCTCTGGCTTTGGAAATCCTTCGGCAATGAATCTCCCTTTCTGATGACAGCTGGCTTCCCTCTGAATTTCTGTGACGGCGAGGAATACGAAGAGTCTATAACGAATAAGTTATCAAACCAGCACTAGGGCCTTCATACTTCTCACCAACCTATCTCAATTTTTTTCAGTTTGCAAGGAAATTTTTTCCCTTCCGTTACTAGTTAATTATTTTTCCCTTCCGTTACCCAGTTCCAGTTTATCTCTCCCTGCAATGTCTTCCTCTCACACAGACCCACACATCATCATTTTGACGCTGTCCTGTGTCCGTGCAAGCTGTCCTCTGGCTGACCTGGCCCAAAGTATCCTTTGACACACAGAAACTTTATTATTGAAGGTTTGGGATAAGACGAGGCTCCAGATTACTTTGCAGGGCTTATGGTTAGCAGAAATGAGGCTCCTATAAAAACACCGAGGAGGTTACTCCACAGGCTGAGAAGGGCTTTTCTGTTCGCGTGGGATTTTTTCTTAACATCGCCTCCCCGGACAGAGCAGCAAAGACCAGCACAAACAGCAACCCCTCCCTCCCAGGCATCGAGGAAGCACCGAGCTCAGCCGGGCCCTGCTGCCGCA